TTATATTTCATAAATTCTATACATATTCTGGTAAACGTTAATAATTAATGCCAGAATGCTATACGTGGAAAGAAATGAAATGAAATGGGGTTTAACGTCCTACTGTTCACTCCGGCTGATCTAATGAAGACGGGCATACGCCATACAGTGTGCAGAGAAATTTTGCCCGGACAGCGGCACTACGGCCTACTGTTATATCGAATTCCAGCTGCCAAGGGACCTTTTACGTGCACGCCAATGTGTACATGAGACCTCGTATTTTCGTACCATTCGAAGGACCTTGCGTTGTTCATTATCAAGCCCTTTGTCCTGCACCCTTGGCAAGGGTGGCGGGGGGGGGGGCTGGCACCCCGGTAAATCAGCAAATTGCCTTTACATTATCTACTTATTAACTATTATAGCGAGAACTGCCAACTCGTTATCGAATCTCCCATAATGTATCTTTAATTAATAGTTTATATAACATTTCAGGCCTAAAGAATGACCTGCAATAGGCAGATTTAGCTCTTACATAATGCCTGTTTAAAACGGTCCTGTATATATTTACAGCTAAAGTCTACAGAAAAAAATATGGCGAACTTCTGTTTTTTGAAAGCGAAGCAATATTGACAGCTGCCATTTTAGCCGCCAACTTGACATGACGCCGTCGAGACAAGCTATAGCCATTATTCAAATTCCCCACTCAGATTATTGACATTCTCCGGGGTCGGGGTTTTGCGACTCTAATTCTTGGGGGATTTCAAATATAAACAAAGGTCGACTCATTCCGACGGAGATTTAATCGGTTAAAAATATATCAAATATCCAACTCATTTCCTAATTCAGCAAATTGTCGGGATGCAATGTGGGAAAGTAAGAGAGAGAGAGAGAGAGAGGGGGAGAGAGAGAGAGAGAGAGATGGGTTCAACGTCCAGTCGTCAAAAGCTAGACCATTTTGGGACTAACATTTAGTTCAATTTTATTTCAATAATTTGCATCCGCTGGGGCCTTTAGCTATGTGGGGATTCGGGAGGACCCAGAGAAAATCCACGAGGTTGAAAGGCGACCCTCACGTACACGCGTTAGACCAAATCGCCATATCTTGGAGTAAATAGGGGAGATTTCAAGTGGATCATAATCATAATCATAAAACTTATTATCCATTAAAAGGGGGGGGGGGCTGAATGGTTAGCGTGGGTACTGTATCATAATGGCTGTCATTGCGTCAACTGGCTATTATCCATTAAAAGGGGGGTTGGTTGGCCGAATGGTTAGCGCGTGGGTGCTGTATCATAAGGTCTGTCATTGCATCAACTGGCTAGACCCAGATTTTACAAGGTACCCCATGATGAAAGTGGGTTTAAGCTTTTACAAATTAAACGCCAACATCTGAAGAAATGTTCCAAATAGCTTGCCTGAAGCATTCAGCTAAAATAGTGAACCATTTAGAAATAATCGCTTATAAGGTTTCACAAGATGGTTCGATATTTTAACCTGTTAATTCCAGGCAAGTTATTTGGGACATTTCTTCATATTTTGGCGTTTAGTGTGCTGTGGAGGAAATTTTGCCTGGACGGCTTTTTTTCAGTCTTTACTATTTTCAACAACCCTTTTTAATTGTACGAGCCACGGTGGCTGAATGAGTAAGACGCGGGCTCGCTAGCCATGAGGAGGTCGCGGTTTCACTCCGGTGTTTCCCGAGAAAGTTCTTCGGGGTTTTCCGGCGTGCTTTCCCCTTGTCAGTGGTGCAGGACGAAGGGCCTGACAAGGACAGCTGTCTAGTCGTTCGGATGTTACGAAAAACCGAGGTCCCGTTAACACATTGGCATGCACGTAAAAGATCCCTTGGCAGTTGGAATTCGATTTAAGAGTAGGCCGTAGTGCCGCTGTCCCGGTAAAATACCCCTCATAGCACACTGTATGGCATATGGCCGTCTTCATTAGCCCAGTCGGAGCAGAACAGTGGGACGTTAAACCCCATTTCATTTTTTATTTATTGTAAGCTAAAATATATTTGTGGATATTAAAATAAAGAGACTGGGTCAATAAAATGAGTCAGTGTCCTTCTTCCCGGTATCATGAAACTATGACAAGGCAATAAATCTATCTATCAACGGGTATTCGTCACAACAGGAAAATAAACATTCATTAGTTTCATATAGGTTGATCTCATACGAAACTTACCCTGTTTGCAGTCTACAATTGGTTCTCCTAAATGACCCGATATTTTAATTCCATAAATCCATCATTTTAGTCTAAAACAAGTCCACTCGACACAAACTAGGTCATTTCGGGACTAACATATGGTTCAATTTTATTTATATAACTCGCATGCGTGTAGGGGTCTTTTAGTAATGGGAGAAACCCAAGAGGTTGGACAGGCGACCCCACTCCTTGCCACGTATAGGCGGGGAAACGAAACCAATCCACTTGACTCAATGGCAGACCTTGTGATGGAACGCGCACGCGTTAACAATTCGGCCACCCAACCCCCCAAACGACGTAGAACCACATTACAAAACAGTATACTAATATTTGAATATGGCTGCCATTCAGTGCAGAGATCTCTTCTCAAAGTTGATATTTCTCTGTGCAGAATTGGTATTAAAAATCTGGGATCCAATTAATTCTGATTATAATGTTTCATAAAAATAATATATCCCGGAGATTTGCTGTAATGTAATGTAAATTGTATATTCCCTTTTGACTCTTTCCTTAGAAGTAATTTCAGAAATTGTTTTGACTCTTTCCTTAGAAGTAATTTCAGAAATTGTTTTCCGGTTTCAGAGTGTTTATCATGAACATCGCGTTATCTTGAACGACAAGTACTAGGGGAACCATTTTATGGTTAATGGCCTGTGCGACAAGAATCAGTGCGCAACTATGGTCTCCCAACTACTATCAGTAAATTAGCACAAACAAGCATACATGTCGCCATATCAATCGGACTATAACTCAATAACCAGAGTTGCTGCCACCATAATGTGTTTGGATTTGATTGACAGTTAAAGATGCGCAAAATCAATATTTGATATAATTGTCATTTTCACAAGGCGAGCGTATCTTAGACGCAATTATTTTAATATGCTGCATTTATGATGTATGTGACACTAATTCCTTCGGCTGCATCATAAAAATCGGAACAAAGGGATACTGTACTGCAATGTGTCTTAATAACCGAGTCTCCTTGCTACACAGTATTGAAATTTCATCAAGCTCGCATCTTGACATCTGATGCATCCATTATTAAAGGATTGGGCCTACCGTGTTCACTTTAAACCCAACAATGGAATGACTCACACCAATTTGTAATAATGTTTTTTTTTCTTGAGTACTGATTAAAATTAATATTACTTCAGGATCTCTGTGCTTGTAATAGAGTATTTATCGAGCTTTCATATTTGTACTTCCCTATTATTTTGATTGTGTATTGTTCATGGAGTAATTTCGATATGTTCTATTTTAAACAGAGCTGGATTAACCTTTAAACAAACTAAGAAAATGCTTAGGGCATCCACACTCCACACAATTTCTGCTTTGTTAAATGACAAATTGTTTAAAACAAACGATGAGAGAGAGAGGGAGAGGGAGAGAGAGAGGGAGAGAGAGCCCATGTGCAATAACTGAAATTCTCTATAGGGTTTATATTTATGAACAAAAGTAAAACTTATATTTTTTAAGACCTCCCCCACCAACATTTTGACGGATACCTATATTATGCTATATATTCTCTCGAATTAACAATGCAGTAATAATTTAATAGATGATTAAGAAGCGGTTAGAATATTTCCTCTGGGTGATCAGTAAAGTTTCGAATTTATTTTTATTCTTGATAACGATAAAAGATTATCCCAAACGCAGGTCCGTAACTAATCCCTGTGAAAAAATTGTCGACCATAAAAAAAAACTAGATTTACAGTGTCCGTCAATTTTACAGCACCCTTGAGAACACTTCCCGCCCCTCGTTGCTCTGAGCTAGTTACGACCCTGCCCAAACGTATTTCACATTTCCATGAGATATTGTTAACAATGAAATACCCAAACAAACGAAACATTATTTGAACGAATATTCAGCAGTTATATAATGACTACGAACAATAAGGAGATATACGTTTGAGTATTCTTCTTTATCAAAGAACAGGTAATAATGAATTGGATTCAACGTCCGAACAATAGATTATATAAATCTGAGAATGACAAAGAGCTTGGGAAGAATACAATACATTCACACGCTATAGTGTCGACACGACTTCTGTCAGGTCAACCCTGTAATATTATACATTTGTTATGAGACTTTCAAATTCAAAAAATTGGGTCATAATTTACCTGGCATATATAATGCCTTTGAATAAAGTCCTACGTGCAAGTATTTTATAATTCACGTTTACTAGCACACCTTGTTATTACCTATAATGATCGATTCTAAAAATATCGATGATTCATTATAATAAGTATTGGTTTGGTATACATTCACCAATATTATTCATAATAAATGACGTCGGTATTTATTCCATATCCGGTAAGTATCTGATTATGTAAATGAGGTTATTGCACAGGTGTTAAAATACAATTTACTACACAGAACTCTTATAATTTGTACAGAATCATGCACGGTGCCTTCATAGACACATGTAGGTCTACTTTTCACATGCGTCGCTTCGTTATTATTTCAGATCAGCTGCTGTAATCAGCCCTGCATTGTGAGACAATTCAAAATACAAATAAATGATTGTCAGCTTAAAGGTATGTGACAGAAAGGTGCGCATGTCATTCACTATCCACGCCTTGGCATTGGCTAACATCAACCTTCACTTTGGCTTCTCCTTCAATTGATAGCCCTCCCCGTTAAATGGATTATCTGAACACTCTAATCAATTAAATTCGATTTAGGATTTAATACACACCGAAAACATACCCATTGTTCTACATATTCGGTGTTGAAGGTATACAGGGTGTGCGATTCTTTGTGTAAGTCTAGATGTAATACGTATGTTACACCTAGGGAGGAGAACGGAATAGCCTTAATCATATCCCCATTGACGGTTGGAGTCGAGATAGAGGAAGCCGCGGTAAGAGAAAACCGGTTGTGAGTATATCGGGGAAGGGAGAAAAGTACTGTTTATTTCGTAATAAGGACACGAGAAGTTTGCGAAAACGTCTGACCGAAAGGGAAGTATTTACAAATTGGATATTTTAAACTAAACTAAAATTGCGGGGAACATAACCGAACAGTGTGTTGGAATCAACCGATTCTTAACTTGCTCGCAGCCTTTATCATCCAGTCTCAAGTGATCAGTTTGTTATTGTCAAGGAATTTACGGTTATATTACAAGAGAATAATATAAGTGGATACTGTGTGATAAAGTGGATACGCTATGCGGATTTAAAATGTCTGGAGGTTCCTAGCTAAAATTCTGTATTTTTAATTTTAATTTTGTTTATTATTTGAAAGGGTGACACGAGTGAAACTCGTCACGCTTACCTTGTCGAACGTCTTCAAAATGGCGACCAAGTGCAAATTAATGTCTCTATGTGTCCTTATTCTACATTCCATATCATATTATTGTGTTGTATCCAGTAATCAGCTTCATAACATAGATTCACTGGATGTTTTTGATATAAAATCTCCCATATTTTCACATAATATCAGACATGGTCGCCATAGATTAAAAAGAGATGTGACCACCAAACAAGTTGAAAGGTCCATCCTAGAAAATAAAACCAACCCGATTTTAGAACTCCGGGGAGATGTATCTAATCCGGAGTCTAGAATTTTTACCTTCGCGGATTCCTCTTTTAAGAATTTGTTCACGGTTGATTCTGAAGGCAACGTAGGAGTAGCAGCAAATCAGAAATTGGATTATGAAAACAGTGATATGAGAGAGGTTACACTGCGGGTCAATGCTACAAGTAGAACAGATTCAACAGGTGAGAAGAATGAACTTTTTTTTTTCTTTTTTTTTTTTTTTAATTAGAATCAATTTATGATACATAGCCCGTAAGTATGTTATATCCAGGTTATACTTGTGAGTGTTAGAGTCTCTATGCAGTCAGAGGGGGGTTAGATGGCCGAATGGTTAGAACATGCGCGTTGTATCATAGGTCTGTCATTGTTGTCAACTGGCGTAGTTTCGATTCCTCGGTTGTACGTGACAAGGAGTAGGGTTGCCTGTCCAACCTCGTGGGTTTCCTCCGGGTCCTCCGGTTTCCTCCCACTGTTAAAGACCCCTATGCACAATCGAATTATTGATATACAACTGAACCATGTTTTAGTCCCGAAATGACCTAGTTTGTGTCGAGTGGATGTTTAACCCCTTTTCTCTCCTATCTCTCTTTCTATAAATGTAGTTGAGTTTTGGCAACCCACCAATACGGTTGAGTTTGGAAGAGCCAAACCAACCTTGAATGTTCAAAATTTGTCAAATATCGATTTCCAGGAAGTTACGAAATCACTACAGTAAATTAAACATTTTGTTTTTTCAATATTAATATGTTCCAGCCCTTTTGACCAAGTTGGCTATTTTGACCAACGCAACTCTGAGTCATAATGTGTTAAATTTTTACAACCTAAGATAATACAGTTTAAAAGTGCTAGACATGTTTCACTCGGATCAAAAAAAAAAATTGCTCATTTCATTGGATTTTATGTGTTTATTTGTAGGCCTATCTTTGTTAAGAAAAAATTTAAACAAAATTTAGCAAATAAGCCAACTTCCACTTTTAATCCTTAAAAACAAATACTATCGTTTTTTTTATTTCTAGGCTATAGAGCTTGCCCAATTAGTACCGGTAATTGGTTGAAACCACTTGCATTCCGGGGGCCTGTTTCACGAAATTTTGACTAAGATAAAATCCAAATTTTAGTAATTTGATTGGATAATATTAGATTGATTTTCGTGCTTAGCCAATCAAAATTGAAGTATCTATTAAAATTGGATTTTATCTTTAGTTAAAATTTCACGAAACAGGGCCCTGAAACTTCGTCAAAACATACACATCAAAATATACATATAGGCCTACCAATGTTTTTATAGCTATATACTTTTATTCCTAATGTACAAGAACATATTCCCATTTCATTATCTATTTTTGAACTATTATACATCTACATGTATCTAGAACTGTCAGCTCTTTATCTAAATCTCACATAATGTACATGGTTAAAGGGACAATAACACTCTTGCTGGCTTGACAGCTCCAGAAAATAAAAAATAGCCTTATTCTACATGTAAGTACTAGATGTGTTAGTGTCCTACCTGTTGTGTAAATTATCCTTTAAATCCTATTTTACTTGTCCAGAGGGTTCAAAAATATTTTTAAATCCAAGTCACATTTGAAAAGCTTTACGTCAGGCTTTTCAAATTATTTAGTTGAATTTTTCCAATTTTTTTAAATTAGGTGTGTTAAGATGAAATTTGTATCATCAATTAATTGGAATATTGTAAAATAGTACAATTTGTTGACCAGAATAAAGATTGGGACATATTATTCAGTTACAACAAGAGTGGTATTGAGCCTTTAAGATATAGCCATTCTAACATAACCTATTGTACAGCTCAACAAAAGCTGCAATATGATTTATATCATTGCCAATTGTAAACAGGTGCACTTCACTAAATGCCATATACCCCTACACCATGTGTGTTGGTGGAACTAGAATTCTGTAAACTTCAGAAGTTCAGGTTAATTCCACTGATTCAAGATACACTGTACGGTATCTGGAAGACTACAGCAGTGCACTTGTTTTTAGAAATACCGTACAGCAGTCAAGCCAGCAACATGAGCACTTCCCGTTCTTTAAATGCTATACATGTACATGTGTTTTGCTCTTTAAACTGCTTTGTTCAGGTTGATTCTACCAATTCAAGGTACTCTGTACCCGGGAAGATCTGAAAAAAAAACAACAGTGTTCAGTGTTGATATTGTGCCTAATAACATGTATTCATGCTATGCCCAATTCAAAATCCCTTTAAGGGTTTCAAGCAAATTCAAGGGCAGATCAAAAGAGTGTGGGTATGAGGTCTCTTTGTTCAAACTCTGTCCCTAGAAAAATCACGAAGATGTTGTTGAGAAAGAATGTTGGTTTGTCATAAAGTAATTAAATGAAATGGGGTTTTAAAGTCCTACTGTTCTGCTCCAACTGGGCTAATGAAGACGGGCATACACCAGAATTCCAACTGCTAAGTGGTCTTTTATGTGCACGCCAATATGTACACAAGACCTCAGCTTTTCGTCTCATTCGAATGACTGTACATTGTCCCTTGACAAGGAGGAAAATACTTATGAACTTGTCAGAAAGTGCTATAGATACATGTACATAAATGCATCAAGTAGATTCTTTCATGAATAACGAAAACCAGGCCTAATGCATATTCAGTGTCTTGCACAATTTTTGAAGCATGACTTCATGACTAAGTAATGTTTTATACAATGAACATGTAGAATATCTTATTTGTCTGGCCGGCATTCTATAGAGTGCAGTAGACTACACAGTTACAGCTTCCATTTTAACTCTTTTTAAGTGGATCTTGGAGATAACAAAGAAGCCACGCTTATATTTTCATGTAAGAAAAAAATTGTGTTACGGTGCTAGTGTTACACCGTATCAATTTTCATGTCTATTAAGAAGGCACGAGCCAGTAGAAGTTCTGTTTATATCATCTTATAAACTCTGGTTAGTTTTTACCACAACTCAGCTGGCATTCAGATCAAATATCAGTCCTTAAGATTTATCCTATAACAAATTCTTCCTAGACAAATTTGTCATATTTAATTATTTATGTCAATTATTCGGATCAAATAACAGTCTTTAGATTTACTCTTTAATTATAACAAATTCTTCCGTAGTCAAATTTGTCATTTAAGTACTGCACTAGTATTTATGTCCGAGAGATTATTAATATAGGCAACATTGCATCAAATTCTTCCTTAGTAAAATTTGTCATATTTCATTATTTATGTCAGTGATTTGGATCAAATATCAGTCTTTAATATTTACTGGTTAATTATAACAAACTCTTCTTTAGTCAAATTTGTTAGATTTAAGTACATGTATTTACATGTATCCTACTGTATGTTAGAGAGATTACTAGTTAGGCAATATTGCAACAAATTTTTCCGTAGTCAAATTTGTCATATTTAAGTACCAATATTTATGTCAGAGAGATACTACATGTATTTAGACAACATTGCAACAAATTTGTTGTAGTTAGATTTGTCATATTTGATTATTGATGTCATATTGAAGTAGGCTACATGTATTTATAACTGTTACTCTTTGAAGGGAGATAAGATACTATTTGCCAGAGGTTTCAAAAACAATGTCCATGTAGTCAAATTGACTCAAATTTGTCAGTTTATGTCCTATAAATATACATTATAGGAGATTAGATAACAAGTTGGCAGTTCTCACTATAATAGTTAAAAACTAGATAATGTAAAGGCAATTTGCTGAATATTTCATTCAAATTGATCTACTATGAACCGAGAATTAAGCGATTGAAATTTCCACATAGCCTCATCATCATCATTACTAAAGTCAGTATGATAAACAGCGTAGTCTCGATTATCCATTTAATCATTAAATCGTGAATGAAAGTTATCCAGTTAAACGGCTCATAATCCACTACAGATCACAGGCATTTTGTTATGGTACATGTATTGTGCGGAAATTCTAACATTTGTCTGAATAGAAAAAATGTAGATATTTTCAAACGAATTCCTAGCCATGCTGTTGAATGATCATATATACATCATGTATTTGTACAGTACTAAAGATTATATGAATATGAGTAAACATTTAAAACTGAATTAAGTTACGCGTATATGAAAACAAACTGTCTGACACGAATACGAAAGTCCATACCTTTATTGATGTTCAGCTGTATTCATGTATGTACCTATACCTGCCTATTGAACAGAAATAGATGTAGGTAATTAGTCAGTATCAGATTATCTGACTCATATACATATATACCAGTACTTACACCATCATTATTAACCAGTAGCAGTTACATTTCTTGAAATGTTCGTTCGAGAAATTAAAATTTGCTGAAGTCAAGTACAAGAGTGAAGACTTTGTGTTGAGAAGAATAGCAGTGCTTATAGAAAAAGAAGAATCTTTATTGCATTAAAAAACCTTACCAGGTTATGTGATATACAAATAAGAATAATAGAAATATACATGAAACGAACAAAGGATACATACATGTACGTAATTATACAAAGATACACAACCTTATAAAGACATGAACGAATTGTATACAAATGCTCCTAAACATTTAAAAATTTCTACATTTTTATTCATCATCAGTATTTTAAATTGTTGTAAATCATTCAGTTTATAAAAATTTGGTTCACGAAATAAATTTAATCTGAACAGTTTTTTCTTTTATCACAATGTCTTTTGCAATTTGTTATAAAATGAATTTCGTTTTTTACCTCTTGGCATATAATACACAAACGATCATTTACGTCAAATTTTAATTGTAGCACAAATTAGAAATTTCCTTGATTCTGATTGGTCGAAAAGTGTGGTCGAATGGACAATAAACCCCCTCTAAATTATCAAGGCCAATTACTGCATATAAATATTATACTGTACTTTTTTTCATTTTTGTGCTCAATGATCTTCCTCAACTCAAATCTTTATTGGCAAATATCATCAAGGAATTCTGCACACATGACTATCACATCGTTTCCATTATCAATTTATGTGTGCTTATTCTTAGATTTGTTAGTGTTTTGTTTATGGGTTAACTACATGTAGTTCCAATTCTATGGTCTTAAAACATCAAATTCGAGAGCAAGAGTAACGCTTTATATGCTTTGTTTATGGGTTAGCTACATTTCCACAGTCTTAAAACATTAAATTTGATTATGGGACAAGAGCAAAACTTTATAAAATGCTTTGTTTATGTATTATCTAC